ATTGTTAGGTACTAAAATCCAATTTGACATTCTCTCTACTATAGATTATCTAATGAAATTTAATTCAGTGTAATGGCTTCACTGGTTAAACAGTTATTATGAATCAAACCAGAGTACTTTTTTAGAACACCCGGTATAAATTAAAATGGAAATAAATAGAAACAGCTTTTTCAATTATTTTAGAAACGTGGTACGAAGTGGTACGAAGTGGTACGAAGCGTGCGATGTTCCAGGGGCATTTGTGTGGATTTGTTTGTTAGATTTCTTAAAGGCCTTTAACCGAATTGATCATAACATCTTACTAAAAAAACTCCAACAATTGTAAATACACCCAGTCCTCATTAGCTGGAACACCGCCTTCTTATCTAACAGATTACAGCGGACAAAGATTGGTCAGGACTATTCTCCTTGGAAGCATATTTGTGCTGGAGTTCCGCAAGGGACTAAATTATGCCCTCTACTTTTTTTGATCATGGTCAATGACCTCGATCCCCCAAACGATCTTGTCAAATTTGTTGATTCGATAACGTGGGAAGTCCTGTACAGTATAGAGACTCTCAATCTAACCTCCCCTCAACCGTAGAAGCGTGCCAGGAATCATGCCGTTCAATTTTATAATCTATACACCTCACTGTAATTTTTTTTACACTATCCTTGCCCAGTTGTTGTAAAATTGATATAACTTAATTTTTAGTCTTTCTCTTTTGTATATCACCACGTAATTTAGTCTTTGTAACTGCAATGTGTGCATGTGAATCATTAAACTATAACTATATTATAATTTTTTTCCCTTGTTTGCCTTCAGTAAGCCAAATTGCCTTTTATCGATATTCTGCCCCGGCTCTTGATTGCTTCCAGGGACAATTAAGCGTCGGTATAAAGAGCATATAAAGCCAAGACGCCTGTTCTGGCGTTAACTCCGGCGTGCCGTGCACGTACCAGTCTTCAATATCTGAACATGAACAATACAGTTCATACTTATTTAGATGCGTTGCCACTTGCCAACCTAAATGTTGTTCGATCGCGAAATTCTGAAGCACATCGTGCTTAAAAAGTATAGAAGTTCAATTGCTTAAAAATATAAACAAACCGCATGATGCGTTCTTCAATCCTGTGCAAACTGTGACGTGTCAACGCGCTCATACACGACCACATCTTGTTATACGGCAAAATAGCAGCGATATTATTAAAATAGGACCAGAACTTACATGTATTAAATATATTCTGACCCAAATTAAATCTAAACCTAATCGAACAGCATCAACAGAACTGTTTATTTGTTCCTCTTGGAGGAATCGCCGTATCATGCGAGCGAAAGTAATTATTTGTGTATAGTAATAAAGTATTTGTCTATAAATAAATTTTATGAAGCGAGTATTTGTGTTTTTTTACAGATAGCAAAAATGAGTTAGTGAAAACTTAGCTTGAATTGAGCAGCCCTGTGATAATAACAATGATGATAATAAAGCCAAGAAGAGGCAATTAGATGTGACCAGTGCTGACAATAAGAAACCAAAGAAGAATATAAGGGTTTGAAAGATATTACCATTTGATATATACCGGTACACAATATGGTCTAAATTCGAGAATACCTCTTGGGCCTTAACTTGTGCCCTAGTTAATTCAATAACCTTTGGATTCTTAAAAACAGTAGCAATATTCTGTATACACAGTATAGCAATATTTTGTGTTTCTAAACACCTAATTTAGAAGAAATTAATGTATTTTTACATATTATATTTCAAATATTCTGTATATTCTGACTGGGTCTAAAATCCTCACAGTATCAGATTGGTACAATCAACTGAGCAACAAGGCCACGTGGATTTAGGACTTTCAAGATGCAGTTTTAGTAGCACTTGCTGAAACCAAGAAAATATGTACACCACCAAAGTTAGCATATTTTCCTAAGATTCAGGCCCCTTCCTTGCCTCAGCCATTCTCTTGGTCTGCACAACCTTATTCACTATTGAGCATGAACAACAGCAGTTCTCAGAAGAACGGATTGTTATTTTGTTAATGTTTTTTGTATGTAGTAAATAACATTCTCACTTTCCATTTAATGTTATGTTTTGTAGCCATTCAAATTATATTTGACTTTAAATTATTTATTGTTTGATATTAAATTGGTGATAGGATAACAAGTTATTTGCCACAAGATTATCATACAATTGTTCATCTAATATTTTTTCAAAAATTTTACTTTAAAGTGAAACGGTATTCTACAACTAGTCCCAGGATGGGCAGAAAAATAGAAAAATAGCGATTTTTCTGCATTGTTATTGTTTATAGCGAGAAGCGTTGCTCATACAGCGCGGGCACATGTGGCCATGGTCGTCGAGTGAGGTTAGAGATGTCAGAAACTCAGCGATGCCTGCATCGGGTAAAATTAGTTTTCTGCAGTAAAATTGTCTCTACAGGTAATATATTCGACATTTTTGCATCGAAATTTTTTCCGATTTTTTTTTAATTTTTGTCAATAATTATGGTGATAATTATATGCAAAAATTTGGATTTTTCGTTTGTAAACACCTTTGTTGAAATATCGCTACAAATCGCCAAAACAAGCGTATTTCAAGCAAAATAAACTAATTAAAAATTAATATAGATCAAAGTAAGCTACAAATATGTGGGGGGTTTTAAGCGAAATTCGTGAAAGATTTAGCACATTTACGACTTTTTAAAATTTAATTTAGAAATGTACACTATTGTCAGTAAAATATCTCTGCCAAGAAACCTTTTAAAAAAACTTAAATGTCGCATTTTGGTCGCGCCGAATGCAATTCAAACAATAGATAATACATCGTCTCATCTCGTTATCTAGCGTTTGAATTGCATTCGACGCGACCAAAATGCGGCGTTTAAAATAGGGCTTACACAAATAGATAAACGTTTTAGCTTTAAGATAATACAATTTCAACTTGAAATAAAAATACTCGTGGATAAAATCGAAATTAGCTTTGTGCGTCGTTTACAACCGAACGGGAATGAGCAGCACAATAATTATTGCATTAAATTTGGCTCTTTTCTGCAGAGCGCATATCAATAAGATTATTTGGATCTAAATACGGTATTCTGAAGCTAATTCTGAAAAGCTGAGGAGTATTTTCCATTCACAATACAAAGTTTTCCTTTGGGCGATAAATTGCATATTTTTTATTCCCCCGTGTACAAAATAAAGCGTTTTGCAATAACGCGTTTTTATACTTTTCTGCATGTAAAAATAGCTACGATCATTATGAATTTAAAAATAACGTACAGGAATTTATATGTCTTTTTGTAATCGCATATATAGACATCCGTTGCGAATGTCAGGCAACTCATAATACGTTTCATGGCATAGCCATTAAATATAGACAAAGTTAAGCCGCGCGGCGGTTTTTAAATTTTTCTACAACACGGTGTTTATATATTCTTGGCCCAATAATAAATTAATCATGAATTGAGGGAACTTTTAAAGCCAGGCTATTTTAACTTTGCAGCAAGAGTTCAGATAGAAAACGTTAATTCCTCGTTTCTGTCTATCTAACTGAAAAATCATCCCATGATATCTTACTCACCATATTTTTTTACTGGCTTGAAATACATTTGCTTGTTCAACGACGGTTGTTTTACGCGTTTCTCTCCTGTAATGTAGCAAGGTATATCTTTTAATGAGAAAAGAAGAATAAAAATGACATACATTGTCATTCATTCGTAAGACAGAATGAGCCAACGTTTAAATCCGGAGGATTTGCATATGAAAAGATGCAAACCTGTAAGGATGCACCTGCATGAGTTTTTAAAGACACGTTTAAATAATTATACTACGTGCATAAGAGTGGATAGCGTATAGTGTTATGTGTAAAGGAAACTATATAGATTGACCTCCAGCAGATGCTTCTTTGTCTCGCTATGGCAACGCATTACCACAAATTTGCCACATGGTGATTTGCATATATATATTATACACAAATTTGCATGTAACTTTCAACAATAGTGGCCTTTAACTTTTACTATAAGATAGATAATTTTATAGCAAAAGTACAACACCTGAAATTGCCGTTGCCCTGGATGTTGTGCAGTGGGCACTGTTTGCCGACCTCTGGATCAATAGAACAGCCGTTTTACAACAATTTGATGCTCGAATTAGTTACAATGCATGGGTATTTCTACGTTCCGCCAACCGACTGTGTTCAAATTTGTATATACGCTTTGAATGCTTGGTTGAACAGCCTTATGAGACTGATAATAATTTTTCAAAGTGCAAAATTAATTCAAAAAAAAATCCGGGTCGTAAAGGAAAATTCATATTATAGGAATACGAAAGACAAAGTCAATTCATCAACAATCCAAATCGAAATGTTCGTATGAATGTAGGCGATTTTATAAGTTCGTTGAGAGAACACGGCCAAATTTTGGGTGATATATTTTTAAGTTTGGAAGACTTCAAAAATACCCAAGGTAGAAAATCGATTGCCAAAACGTTTCTAAAAAGCTGGTCTACCCATGTAGCCGGTCGGCAAAGAGTGCTTCAAGTCGTTACGATGTTACGACGTTTTATATATCCACTCAATGTATTTTATAGTAAAACTCGAAGGCAATTATGTATGGATTAAATGCAAATTAACGCACAAGCGATACCCATCTTGTCACCAATTTCTGGTAATGATTTAATAAAGATATATAGCTATGTAAGGTTCTTCAATTGCACGTAGCATTAAAAGCCGTTTTGTGACCGAAGAGCACACTATACTTATAGATGTTTATTTGACATCGTTATCGCTTCCGTTTCAACTACGAACCCTATAGGAAGTCCCGGCGGTTTCCGAGACTGGTGAGCTCTGTTTTCTGGGCAAATTAAAGGCATGCAACTGCAATAAACAATGACACTTTTTGGATAAAATAATGGCAGTGTGCCAGAGCACATGCCGATTTAATTCAACCAAAAGTAACAAATTATAGCTAAATGTTCGTATTTAGTTAGCGCGCAGAAAAGGTGGGGTGATAAAAACGCCCACACCATCATAATTACATAGAAATTATCGTAGCTCACAACCTAGAGAAAGGGAAGGAGGGTCGGGTGAAAACTTCCGAAATTGCTTCGACGAAATCAAATATAGAATGACCTTGAACCTTTCGGATCTCTTTATATAGGTATGCTGACTGTGCACGTGAAACATGCTCCATGCACGTGAGGGGGATATTACTTAACTGTAACAAAGTGCAAATAGCCTTGAACTTTCTCATTCCGCTAGGAATAAATCAGGAAAGCACGTTTATCAAAACGTAACAAAGTTTCCCTGTACTCAAATCTATAGATAGGCCAGTTAAAAAAGAGTTTCCCTCCATTGCTCTACGCGTGCGCTACCATATATAGCTATAACGTTATTTACAAACTACAAATAAACTAAGAATAATACACGCAAGCAATGAACTTATTATTTGCTACGGCAAATATCTCCTTTTTTTCTTAGTCATGCATGTATATAAGATTAAATATGGTAAGTGCTATCAATAAGTATTGGAATTTTTTGAAAGATACATGAATAAAATATATATACAACAAAGGGTGTGTAACATAGCAATATTTATACCATGCAGGCAATTAATACATCAGGCTTTGACTTGGAGTGGATTGTACGCCGCTTTTCGTGGAATTTTTCAGTGCAATAATTGATCTACCAGCTCCTTGTGATACGGTGCAACATGTTATTATTTGCTTCAAGTGAAAAGTTTTATTATATTTGAAATAAAATTATCGTGTCTTTAAACAAATGAGAAATAATAATTCAAACGTCCTTCGATAATGAAAATATACTAAGAAGCACGCTAAGATCCATACCAGGTATTAGAGGTTGATGTTGAAGACGAGGAGCATCTGTAATTATTATTATAACAGTCGTAACCCCCGAGATTTTCACACGTGGCATGCCCATTGGGGTATTGCCAGTCGCAGCCGTAATTTGAATTTACATATACGCTTGTGTAGATGTTGTATACCGAGGTCTGCATTATGGCCACTGTACAGTCAGTACATGATCCACCACGGATGTTCAAGTATTCCACCAAAATGCACTTATCAGTAACATGGTCGCTATTATAGGTTAAAAAGTCGACCGTGCTAGTTTTTAGACGGACATAATCGATCGTATCGGCGAACGTATGCGGATCATAGTTGCATGTTATTCGAAAGTGGGTCGAGTTCTTCTGGATACTAGTAAATGTTGCCTTAGGAAGGCGAAAATCGTTAAAAGCAGGATTTGCTTGCGATCTTGGGTTATTAATAAATAATTGTTTTTTCTTGTAATAAACCCGATTCCCCCTTGAAAATGACTGGACCAAGGTCCACACTTTACCATCAACCAATGTGAAGTCGCAAAAAGACCGAAAAGCTTGGTTTAGATCATCGTACAATGTGTACACTCCAGATTGACTTCCAGGATTTGCATCATATATAGATCTACAGCTTTTTGGGAGATCTTCACAACGTTCACCTCTAATTCCAAGATGTTTTGGGCAACTACAACGATGCCGTTTGCCTGATGCAGTTGGACATTGCTCAACGCAAGTTCCTCCGTTCATGCATGGGTTACCTGCGCACGAACAGCTTTGTTTTTGAGCGCAGCTTCCTCCTGTTGTACCCTGAAATAAGCGGAATTTCTGACTGTTAGTTGTTCTTCATGCCATATAACAGGCTTTTTACATACACGGAAAAGACTGTAACAGCAGAAACGTGGAATCTTGAAATTGTAGTAAAGAGTATTATATCTATTTATATGCATTGAACGCATCTCTGGTCAATAAAGGGTACATTTATAACGCTGGCTGCAATCCCGCGTGTACATACCTGTCGTTTTACAATACAATACAAACTTTTTTTATTGTGTTCCCAAGCAGGGTTTTTCAACACTAATTTACAATGAATAAGATGTTGAATAATCTATTTAAAGCAACATGCAGTTTTGATGCTTTGAATGTTTAATAAACTGTGAAAGTCTATAATTACATGCAACGTAATGCAGCAGGAAAACAGGTGATTTCACTGTGTTTGTTTCCAAAAAATTTGAGACATCATTTATCGGCTTTACATTAAGGTCATTTTAAAATATGAGGGTTAGGTCTGGCTAACTCAGGAAATATTTTGCTTCGTTTGAAATGGCGAGGGGCGATGCTTTATGCATGTTTTTCTGTTATAAATATTTAATTTACTCACATTATTTTAATAAAATTATTTAACTTACCGAGTTTTGACTCTCAAATGACAGCTCGTAATAGGTACAGCCTTGGTCGTTACTCGGCGTTTTGTCGCGTTGATTACCAGAATTTAATTCGCACGTCGTCCCGCAGACGTTGATTGACTTACAATGACAATTTCGAACACATTTTCCAAAACATTCCAAAGCTGTTCCTGACTTGGTGCTTAGCACCAGGCCTTCCAAGCGACTATTTTCTTGTTTTCCGTTAGGAAACTTCACTTGTGGTGTAAGCTCGCAAGCGGAATGCACAGCAAAGTGGTGGAGACTTTCCAACAAGTAGATCAAAAAACAGTGTTGAATATGCATTTTAATTGAGTACGTGTTTCTAGATAACAAAATTAAGATTAATAAAATAAATCGAATAAATTGAGCGCAAGAACTGACGAACTTGTTAGTCCAACTAGACCTAGAAGCTGGGAAACATATAGGAGGAAACGAGAGATGAAAGAACGGGCTTAGAATAAAAAGAAAAAGAAGAAAGATTGAAGGAAGGAACGCAAAGTTGTAGGTAACTAAGGATCGTTTCCTATTTCAAAATTGGATATTTCTTCAAAATCTTACCGATGTTGGATATTTCAACTCGACGTTAGGATTTGCTTTTGAATACTTGAAATTGCGAACAAGTTAAATCAACAATGGACAGATATAAAGTACGTGTAGCGAAGGTTGCTTGCGATGTAACTATGCAGCCGTGACTGCTTGCATGTATTGAATGGGGAAATTTGTAAACATCTCTAAAGGCCACCTGTTACTGCGGTTATTGTACGCGTAAGTTAAAAATATAGTTATATGCTTTTAATACATATCTAGTGTAAATATTTTCTCAAGTTCCCCGCAATTCGCAATGATAAAAGAGTTGTCGGTTCATCGCTCTTCAAAACAAAATTTGCGGGTTCAATTCACTTAGAAAAGAGTGAACTTAATTTCAAAATCTTTGTTCTTGACCACAAGAAAAGTCGTAGAATCGTGACATATCTCCGTCCCCTTTTGCAAAAATGAAATGTCATTTTCATATAAGAATCCTTTATCCTTATTTCACACCAAAAATGCTCACCTATATAATGTATATGATATCAATTAATAATTAATGTGAAAATTAACCAAACATTTAATATTTTATATTAATTCGCCAAAAAAATATATTTTTATCCAGCAGGGACATCATCTCCTATCTACAGTAAAGTAGTTTGTACTTATATTACTAAACTTTGGAAAAACCTATAATTGATCAATTCGCAATTGTTGTGTTTATGTTGGCAAGAATTTCAATTTCAATTTCAGTTTATGTTGACAAAAGAAAATGATACTTTATACCAAGAAAAATCAATCATAGTAAATAGTTTATATAGACAGAGCATATATTGGCTACACGGTGTGGATATCAAGATTCAGTTAGAATGACCTGGTTGTTAACCGCTTCAAGTTTTTCTTCTATAACTTCCGGGTTGTTCTTGTGTCGTAATAATAAAGCATGTTCTGTGGTGTTTGTCACTCTGTAGTATAAACCTAGCATTATAGACTGAGTATAGATACAGTGTTCGTTCTTGGAGAAGTCTGTTTGTATTTTCTCGAACTCTTCTCCAAAATGATCAGTTTATGAAGACAAATATCTCTTCCTTATAAAGTGTTTGCATAAAATGCATCATTTGCTGTGAGGAATTCTTGGAAATAGCTGCGGTGTTTCGACCAATAAATTTAGAAATATCGCGAGCTGAAAGAGAGAACTAGGACGGGAGTATGACGCACTGAGCTATGTATGCTAAGTGAATGGGTCAAACTGCATGGACCAGCATTATGAACCCAGATTTTCCTAATCGTGTCAGATGATTTTACTCATCAGTGGAAGAGTACTAAGTTAACAAAACTATCTGTCAGTGTCTCTTGTTAACCCATTATCTTGGAATGCACCCAGATTTGGCGTACCGTTTAGTATTTTACTCTTTCTAATGCCACATGATTTTACTCATCAACGGAAGAGTACTGTCAGTTAATAAGTCAACAAATCTATTTGTCAATGTTTCTTGATAATCCATTAGCTTGCAATATGCAACCAGATGTGACCTACTTTAATATTTTTACTCTGTTTAAGTCAAGTTGAATATTTTCGCGGTGCAATAATATTCCAATCTAAATAAGTTTTCATCAACACACAAATGGTTCAGGATATCTTGTTGATTGATCTACAGCTGTGGTGAATAAGAAAAACGCAACATCAAAGTGTTCATGAAATTCACTTCACTTTCGTTTTGATCACAAAAGATCGTATAGCGTATCAATTAAATATTTATGAATATTAAGTGTTGCGTCTTTTAAACATGCTGTATAAGTTCGGTCATTATACCGATGAAAAGCCATTTCAAGCTAGAAGATTAAGTTTTAGCAGATCAAAGATGATCAAAGAATTCAATCCGTGGATGTGACAGTCAGGCCGGGCTGTGGTGATTTCGGAACACGAAGGTAAGACCAGATGTAACCTTGTAGCAACACAGCGAATCGATAATATTCTTATAATCTCACAAAACAAGTAAACTAACGTGAATTTATAATGGTAATAGAACGAATAGGAGTGCAATTAATGCCAAAATCATACGAGTGATTACAAAATCAACCGACCGCGCAGCGGGAGGTTGATTTGTTAAGCACGAGTATGATTTGGCATTAATTGCACGACTTAATTCGTTCTATTACTTATTAATTATCCATCTTCTGTAATCAAAAATTCTGGTCATTTTCTTCAGCAAATATATCATTTAAAAGGTCAAAATTTTCAAAATCATTGTCAAATTTCTCCATTTTTAAAAATTTCGCGCCCCAAAAGAAAACAAATTCTTATTTTGTATCTGAATGCTGATTGGCTACTTGTAAAGCTATGCTGAATTTCAATGGCTGTGAACAAGAGTGCGATTACAGCTCACCAAGAGTGCGATTAATGAATAATCGCACTCCTGTAAACCAATCAAATTGAAGTATTTGACAGTGATTACAGAAGATGGATAATTAATCATTAAACAGAGGCTCTCGTGCACACAATGGTATCGAAATAATTTGCAAACCAGGGCAGTGGCGTTGCCAGCATGATAAGTGGGGGGGACTTATTCGTTTCTATTCAAATTGATTGTCTTAACGGACTTTGAACATGAATATATGAATATGTCCACCCCACTTATCGATGCCGGTGACGCCACTGAACCAGGGAGTTTTACCTTGGCACCATTTTGCGGAAAAGATCTGACGAAAATCACGTCCTTATTCAAAAAACAACAAACCATATAACAATGGATTGTATATTCAAGGAAGCGGAGAAGATAAGGGTATCATCTCTCTCACATTAATAACGAAATTCATATTAGGCACGGGAAATTCATCTTTGAATAGATTAATCAACATCTTATTCATTGTAAATTAGTGTTGAAAAACCCTGCTTGGGAACACAATAAAAAAAGTTTGTATTGTATTGTAAAACGACAGGTATGTACACGCGGGATTGCAGCCAGCGTTATAAATGTACCCTTTATTGACCAGAGATGCGTTCAATGCATATAAATAGATATAATACTCTTTACTACAATTTCAAGATTCCACGTTTCTGCTGTTACAGTCTTTTCCGTGTATGTAAAAAGCCTGTTATATGGCAACTTATTTGCCAACTCAGTATGCTAATAAAATTATACTCGAATTTGAGCATTTTTATTTTAGTCTAGGGTAAACTCGCAAATAATATCAGGCCTTTATAAGCCTATGTTTCCAACTTGGTAATATATTTCATAGATAAGTAATGATTTGCATGACTTTCTAAGGTTTTCCATGGCTTTATAACATCACATTTATAGTACGCGTGTGCGATTGGTCGAGACTTCTCCCGGCGAAATTGGAAAGCGAATTAAGTAATGCAATGAATTATTTGTCTATAATTACATGAGTTGGCATTACTAAGCGAGTTACCCGGCTTTTACGAGTGACTTGCTTTATAAGTTTTGCTTATTATTTGAACATTTCCATTACATCGATTGGAAGGACATTAGAGACTTTTAGCTTGACGTTTACGGCAAACACTAGACTTGCTACAAGTCGACTCTTTAAACCCACACGCGAGCTTGAGTGACCGAGCGTAGCGAGGTCGCGAAGGCGAGGGAAGGGAACGCGCGGAAGAGTCTGTGTGTGTTTTAACTCCACTATCTTTAAGTGTGCGGTAATTTCGCTAAGCCTAAATTACAAACGTTCTACATAAAACTTGTGATGTTCAGCAGTAATGTAAGAAAGCAAAAGACTATTTCCGATGTATTTAGAAAAGCAGCAAATTCAGCTTTGCCGTATATGTTTCACGTTCGCCGTCAGTATAAAAATTAAAGCTTGAACGACTGCACACACCCTCAGCCGTTCAAGCATTAAAATTTATACGGCGAACGTGAAACACATACGGCAAAGCTGAATTTGCTGAATATCTGAATATTAATAAGGAACAACGTTAGCGAAACAACTTGATTTCAATTGCTTGTACACCCATGGCTCAGCCCTCTAAAGAAGCCTAGCGATACATTTTAGCATGCTGAATGTAAGATCGTTAAAAAACAAGATATGACTTGTTCATGATTTTATATCGTAGATAACAAACAGGGGCGGATCTGGATTTTCGCAGGTCAATGCTACATATACGAAGTAAGAAAAATGTTCGCACCCACCCCTATAGATTGATGAAATTAGTTATATTTTACAGTTTACTAGCTGATTCGATATAATTATTTTCATACGAAAGATAATACAGGAAAAATCCCAGTTTCAATCGATGCCAGGCTAGTCTGCTAACATCCCTAGGACACATAAAAATGTAGAAAGTTTACAAAGGGACCTTTTGTGGATAAAAACACCTCCAGAACGAGCAGACCAAACCTCCAGAACGAGCAGAATTTTTGTCTCCATGGAAACTACCGAATGGGCCAATCAGATTGATGAGAAACACCCTAACCAACCTCCAAAACGAGCAGACCAAACCTCCAGAACGGGCAGAATTTTTGTCTTCATAGAAACGAATGAAAAAGATTGAGCAAGTTTGCATTCAGGAGCGAGGAAATCGATAGAGATCAGTGTTTATTTAATTTAAAGGACATTGGTCATATTTTGGTTTATTATCAAGGTTAGTAAAATCGAGTGCCCTGATCACGAATCTGCTCTTATTTTTTATCCAAAACTTTTGCTTCTTGAGTTATTGAATGGGGAATATTTAAGTAGGCCGCCATCTTGAAGAAAGTGAATTATGCGAAATTAATTGATGACGTCAACAGCAGGTAACAAAGTAAACATGATTTGCGCCAAAAAATACAAAGCAAGTTTACTCTCTGTGCGTATAACTTTGTAAAGACTGGACAATACTGCTCTTTATGGTGCTCGGCTACAGGTATCAGACAACGTTATTGTTGTAATGAAACGTGTTTAACGGAACCGCAACGTGTCGAATACCTCAGATGTTCGGTCTTTTCTTGGCGGCTAAGAATGACTTCGGTATGGACGGTATCACCTATCACAGGCATTGAGCAAAATAGTACAACATGTTTAACTTCCGTTCCGATTTGCGGTACGATACTTCGTTGTTATTGTCGGCCTCCCTGGATCTAAACATCTTCCCCGCGCATGCTCAATAATAAGGCATACTCATGTGGTTACTCACTTCACTTGGCACGCACCTCTCGACGAGACATGTATTGTCCAGTCTACGGCTGTAACAGCGATAGCAAGAAACAAACGGACCCTCCAACGCACTTTTTCACCTTTCCGTCCGGAACATCAACGACGCAAAAGCAAA